TATATATATATATATATAATTATATAGCCTATAAGAATAAGACGAGGTATACTTCCTTGTTAAGTAACAGAAATAAAATATAAGTACTGTACACTACTTGCATGCACATTTATTTGTTTATAAATAAATATAACGTATAAAACAAGCTTCTATTACAATATTAATATAAAGCTTTAGTACTGTATTATACAGTACAAAAATTTATTTTCACGTTGCACAAGGAATAAATTATTATTTATACTTTACGAATTGGAGTCGATGATCTCAGAAGTTTCCTTTTAGACTTTTTTACAAAAAAAAGTTAATAAAATATATTCTTAACTTACATTTTTCGTAGTAAACATTATTTTCTTCTGGTTTTACTTCACGGCAATCGACCAATTTATGTAATATATTCAAGGGTAATTTTAAATATAAGCTTATAAAACGTTTAAGAGCGATAACAAGCCAGTAGAAAGTTACCTTTCAAAATGGTGGAAATAGGCCACTCGTTAGCCATCTGTCGGTAATTTTTCCTATTACATTTTCCTCTTTCGTTAGTAAATTATGTTATTTTAACATAATTCGGTAAATGCAATTATCAATAAACTAATAATTATTATTATAATCGATTTTATACATTAAATACTTTTCGGTGAGAAGTTTCTCGTAAGGTCATTGACATTTTTCAGTCTACGTATGTAGGTCTGTAGGTCGATAGTAAAATATTTGTATATGCTTATGTTATGACCTTCTTAAAAACTTATATAACTCATTTTACACATTAAGGAAGTGGATTTATTTGAATTATACTGTAGGATTATTATACCTAAGTCATAATAAGTCTTTATAGGATGTAAATATGAAGGAACGAAGTTATTAAAATTTTATAAGTCTACGATTCGAATTTATCTAGAAAATAGCTTAAAGAATTATAAAACTTGGATTTTTACCCTCGAGGAATTTTTATTTTTTTTAAAAAATATTTTTTCATGTCTTCCAGAACAGAAATAATAAAAACAATTCTTGAAAGTTGCTGGGAATTACCGAATTCCGGAAAATTAACATCCATAAAAGTTTATTTTTAACAATATTTATTGATTGTAACCTGTTGAATACATTACAAAATCTTATGAAGAAGACATTATTTATAAAATAAATATTAAAACAGATTTCAGCATTAAAACATTAAAAATATGCTTAATTTATTTTAGAATTTATTCACTTTTACGGATTTGTATTTTAAAAATTTGGCACAGTTTATTTTAAAAAATAAGTTTTCTTAATATTTACAAATTCTTGAATGTACTGTACAAGAAGTTTTAAATTTCAATTAAATAATGTAGTGGCCCAATTTAAATTTCATGCACTGATACGTAGCTTTGTTTCAAAACTTTTGTTATTTAAAAAGGAAAAAATATATAAAAAATTAATTAAAATAATTTAAAAGTAAAACTTTCACGAAATTCTGTACTTATTTTTTTTATTTTGTTTTTAATCAGTTCCAGATATCATGTGCCACTTTTTAGCTCCATCAAATGTTCATTAAACTCAATAGTTTTATTTTTTAATGAATTAAATTATTCTTATTAACTCAATCATACTCCAAAACTGTGTTAGATAATGACATATTAATTAATAAATTGAGAATTAGGTTTTTATATTATAATATAAATACAACTTTATTAATAAACTCATTTAAAATCGTAAGAATTTAATTCGTAAGATAATACATTTATATATAATTTATACAAATATCTTAGTGAATAAGATGATATTTTATGATTTAATTAACAATTAAAAATATATAATATTGATAAGTTTAATGTTGTTAATGTTAAAAATATCACCAACGTTCGTCGTTTTGCTGTTGAATTCTTGTAAATTTTGATGTCAAGATCGATGGTTTGTAGTTATCAGAATTATAATCATAATAATCTGGATAGACACGAAAGTAACGAACAGGAACTACGTAACTGTAAATTGCTCCTTGATTTCCATAATAACCTCCAGGTAAATGATAATTACCGTAACTTCCATATCTTGGATAGTAATTTCCGTAATTGCCATAGCTTCCATAATACGGATAACTAGAATAGGGGCATATTAAATTTTATATATTATTACTTTAAAAATCAGATAATTAATTTAAATCCGATGAATTAAAGTAGCCTAAAGTATAAACTATGATATTCTAGTTTGATAACATACAAAGGAACTGGCCTGCTTTTCTTTGCGAATTTCAAGAACAGGGAATTAATTCCAGTAATTGATAACGTTGTAAAGACGAAGAAACAAAAGAAAAATGTACAACGATTCATTTTTATTTTGAAATTCTGTAAAAATTTCATAAAAAATTATAATACTAAAATGATAAATTTTAAAATTAACAAGGAGTTTTACTTACCTAAAGATGTCTCCTATGTGAGCTAAGCTTTCAGATGGAGGTTCTATATAAACATTGACATGCATTTTCGCTATTTAAATGTTTTTCTTTATTTTAAGGGCGTTCATATCCTGTTCATCAAAACAATTAACCAAACCTAAAAATTATTTTAAATGTAAGAAGGTCGTTAAGAGCAGGTCACATTTAGAAAATGTATACAAACACGACCCTATCATATACAATAAAATTATCAAAATATTAACTGAATTAAGATTAAAAACTTTCCAAAATTTTCAGGAAATATTCTAATAAATACATTATTTGTTTTCAGCTTAAATTTTGTTAAAGTTTTAATTAAAAATATTTTAATTTTTTTTTTGAAAATAGGAGGAACCAGAAATTAAAAAGAAAGGTCACTGACTTAGGAACATTGAGGTCAAACAAAAATAAATTTTTTCTTAACATTCCCACACGTATTTAGAAGGTGTAAAACTTAATTTTTAATTATTTTATCGTTTATTTAAATTAATAATTTTTTAATTAATTATTTAATTAATTATGAATAAAACTAATTAATTTTTTAATCCATGTGATCTCCACGTGTTTAGAGAAATAATCAATTTCAAAATAGAAAATTGATTATTTCTCTGAACACTTGGATTTTGATAGTAGGAAACTGAAATTTATTAATTAAATTTTCATTCATTAAGTCGTGAGTAAAATAATCGATTTCAATTTGAAATTAATTATTTTATTCACGGGTCATTTATTATAAATTATGTAAATTTTAAACACGTGTTCAAAAATGTACATAATTTCTTTTTTTAAATTTATTATTATATCGCAATAAATCTGTAAACACTTTATTCAATTTCAAAATATTTTGATATATTTAATTCGCACTTGACTCATTAATGTTTAATAAATGATATTTAACCTTAATTTAATAAACAGATTATTATTATTATTCGTTTCTTTTTGTATTTTTTCATAAACTTACTGAAATTTTTCAGTATTTCTGTCATGAGAATAGAATATATTTATTAAAATTTGGCTAGTGATCAAAATCTTTCTTATAGTTGTATGAGTTTGTGATTTGTCATTGAAATTTTTAAATTATTAGTTGTTACGCCTATCTACTTTATTATCGTTCTAAGAATTTACGTTTGAATTTATAATTTTTATAATATCTAACGATAAAAAAGTGTTTTAGTTACTGTATTTTATGTCAACGAAAATTAAACACGTGTCGCAGAAATTTTTGGCTAAATTTCAGAAGCTTGTAGTAGGGGAAGCTTAAAAAAAGACCCTAAAAATTACAGGGTCGTTTTATGATTTGAAGCTTAATTATCAAGTTATTAAATGGCGTCATTTCCGTTTTTTTAAGTCTTTAAGCTTAAGCTTTTAAAGTCTATCGAACAACTCATTTTTTAAAATTAATCCATTTTAATTTAATTAATTAATGCAGCCAAGAACGCCTTTATAGCTGTTCATCAGTGGCTTCGAGAAACAGGCATCTTCAACAATCATCATTGATAGAGGAAGAGCAAGAACAGCACCAACACCGGATATGGTGGAACATATTATTGCTAGAATCCTGATAAATAGTCCTACAATAGGCGCTACTCATTCAAGTGTGTGGCAAATTCTTCATGAAATCCAATTGTATCTATCTCGTATAGAATATACAGTGAGTGCAGGCATTTGTACCTCATGATTTACCACCACGATTACAATTTTGTCAATGGTGTCTGCGAAGAAAGAGCCTCGTTTTCTCATGACGATCTTTTCATATTGAAGCGGTATGATGCAGTACAGACTTTTAAAAAATAGAAATAACGTCACTATACTTTGACGCTTAATAACTCGCTTCAGATTAAAAAAAGGCCCTTGACATTTTTATTCAGGCTTATAGATGGGTTTTCCCTTAAAAGACCTCTGAAATTTGGCTAAACATTCATAAAACACCCTGTATAATTAGACCTACAATTAATCATATGTACAATACAGTATATTTATAAGCAAAAATAATGACTCAAAAATAACATTACAATCTAAAAATAAGCTTTCCTATGTAGAAAGTTTGTCTACGAATAATTTTTCTAATAATAATTTTGTATAAATAGAAAAAGAAAATGCAGTAAAAATGACTTCCATAGACTTAAATTTCATTTATTTCTTGACATAATTAATTAATTTAAATTATAATTATTATATTAAAATTAAATATTTCTATTATATAAACAAGATTAGCAT